AGCCCCTGATAGTTTGGGGGCCAGAGAGCAAGGATGCATAGTGCCTAAAGATGTGGACGGGTCCATGATTGAGTGGGGGGGGGGGGGGCAGGGGGGAGGCAAGAGGCTAGATTTTTTTTTATGAAATTGTGTTTAAAAAAAAACATGCCATAGCTTTCATGAACCTTGTTGTTTAAATGGTTCTGTCCCTTAAATCTATGCAAGATTTACATACAACTTTATTTCCTAATAGTATTTTTGAGAATTTGTCAAGATGCAAAGCAATTCATGAGGAAAAGGTACGAAAACCTGCTTATTAAAAAATATATATATCTTCTAACTTTGAAGCTGGCATATCTGCCTCAAATTCCAGTTTAATGGAATTAGTTGGTGACTCTTTAGTTGGTCTGAGGATCCAGCCACCGGAGCTTCAAACTGAGGTGCAAAATAAACAAATGTCCTATGCAATCATCCAGTCCTCATTGATCTCAATGTTTTATGCATGAGAGGGAAGGATTAAAAGTGTCTGAAGGAGTTACTGTGAATGTTCTTTACTAAATTACAGTTTGCTTCATCATCCAATGGAAAGTGAAGTGGAGCCTTCTAGCTGACAAAGACAATAACAGTCACACTTAAAAAAAAAATGGCTGCTTACCGGAGGCGTGCTGAAAATATAGAACGATGAGCCTTTCAGTGCCAGGAACTTGAATGTGTACAGCTGGGGGGAATCTTCTCCCTGGAGCCTCTCATTCACCCACCCCATATGTATCACCTTCAGTGGACAAAAACGTTTACAAATTAATTTCAATTTATTATGCCAGGGGTAAAATAAAACGATTCCTGTAGAGCATCTAGTCAATGATTTTCACGCATAGATCTATATGCGTTGTCCATAAGTTCTGATCATTTAACCCAGAACCAGCACCTTAAAGTTACTGTAGACATTATAGAAAAGAAATTACCCCAATTTTAAGGAATGTGCATTGTCCTACAATTATGGGGAACTGAACAACCCAGAACAGCAAGACAAATTTGGGAGCAGAAATATATGTTGTAGCTACAGAACAAGCGAGGCCAAGATAGGGCACTTGTGCTTGTATGTTTTGCACATACAAGGACCTAGTTTTGTTATTTCTTTAATGAAGAACATTCGATGGGATCTTAAAGATTTTTGTCCAATATTGGAATAATCAGAATATTGGATATTCAGCCCACACAATATATGTGCACACTTCAAACCCAAGAATACGCTAAGGCAGAAGCTTATCCACCCCCAGACACAAACTGAGCAACCCTCTATATGCAGCACAATGCAGTGAGCAGATCTACACATTGGGGAAACAAAATAATAACTCCATAAACGTACGGCACAACATGGGAAAACAAACTCATCAGGACAAGGTTCAGCAGTCCACCTGCATTTAAAAGACGAGAGCCACTCTTTTGAAGAGAGCAAAGTCCACCTTTTGGACGGAGAGGACTGCTGGTTTGAAAAAGGGGCCGAAGAGGCCTTCCATGCCAAAACTGACTCTCTCAACAGAGGGGGAGGGATACAACATCATCTGTCTCCAGTCTACAACACAGTCCTTTCACAATCCCAAGAAGGCTCCACGCCCATTTGCCCATTTGTGACCCTGAGAACCCATATGAACCTCCAGGTACCCTCAATGACTCTCTAAAAGAATGCCAATGACCATCTGTCTGCAAGGAGTATAAAGCCTTCCATTCCTCGCCATCCTGGAGAAGAAGCTTCTTGGATGAGTAGTGAAATGTCTTCAAAGAAAAACCAGAAAGCCCAGTTGCCTCTTGAAAAAGCACCTTTGGGACAACTAAGACTTGGATGCCTGAGAATTTCAATAGACATTTTAGTCCAATATTCTTCAAATCAGCTGCCCACCCAAAAACACGGAGAATTATGTGTTTTCAATGCCGAGAAGAATTGGCCACAAATCCATCACTTAAGTTCTTTACGCATAGGAGTTCAAATTCAAAAATCTTTTA